CTAAGTCACCACCACTCTTCAATACTTTAATTTTATTTTATAACCGTCGTTGAACAGCCGACCCAATTTTGGGTTTACGACTACCAATGTTTAACTCCATAGCCTTGTAATTTTGAACCAGTCCAGAAGACAAGGTAACTCCTGAATCAGTACCCCCAGAAGTATGATTTGCTATGAGAACATGGAGGACTTTGTGACTCGACAGATTTAACGTGCATCATTCACCATTAACTACACGGGGAGTCTTCGTCAATACTTTTATTAAACTTTTCGTATTATGTAAGAAACAATCCACTTGAGTCATTAAAGAGCCGGTTCCCTAAGCTGAAAGTGGTGTCACGTCAATTCGCCGAACACAATTAGATGTGAGACAAATCTCACACAATTCGTCAGAGTGACAATGACAATTCGTCGCTCGTACATTTCGTCTTGACGATAATTCATCATGGGTACAATTCATCGGTAGCACGAAATGTCATAAGCAAAACTTGTCGCAAGCACAATCCGTCACAGAGACAACTCGTCGCGAACTCCATTCCTCGGGGGTACAGAGAACAATTTGTCGCAGATTATTTTTAAAATAAAGTAATTTTTAGGAATTCTTTAATCTATTAATAATAATAATAAAATTTTACTTGCAGGGAAAAGAAATTTTTACATTCCAAGATGATTAGTTTCGTTCCTACCTTACTCAAAAAATTTCAGAAAAGTATTTTACTAATAGCCAACACAATTAGCAGATCACCGAAGTCAAGCATCACTGGCAGCAGCCAGTGATGTCTGCTGGGAATCGTGTCTTAACGATCAGTTGTTAAAATAGAGAGATGAGATTTTGCATAGTTTTTGTGTTGGGTTAACAGTAACGCTACCTAATTTTCTATTACTTAGCGACTCTGCGGTTTGTAGGAAAATTTTCTCGATCTATGAAGATCAAATGACGTCAGAGTTAGACGGGAAGCCCTACGCATGCGAATTCTCTCTAATGGAGAAACGCGTGTTAGAATGTACGTAACAAGATTCGGATATCGATATCATTGATTGAATGCCATATGATCGAATATCGGATAATTGGGTCGAATAATTGCTTTTTACGCAAAATTTATATTTGAAACTGTTAACTTTCTGATAACTTTTATTGTGTTTTAATTTTTTTCTGCTTGAATGTGCGTGTTTCGTTATATGTCATTTTGTCAATTTAATGCTAATAAATTTGTACTATTCCACTTTCTGAATGATTTTAAAACTTGAATGAAGCCGCATGTCCACTTGCTATTGAACCCCTCATTCAATTTCATTCAGTAAAGAACTTAGTAGGTTGTTCTGTGGTAACGGTAAACTAACGGAAGTGCTAACAACGGCGCTAAAGTGTTAATAAATTTAACTTCTACAGTGTTTTTCTAATTCGAAATTAATTTTTCAATTTTTTGAAAGCATAAAATCGGTTTTGTCGAAGTTATTATGATCAGATTGATCTCTTTTACCCATACATATTTTTCAATAAAACAAATTTTGTTATTTTCTTATCGAATAATTTCAAGGCGTACCCGTTAACTTTCTTTTATTAATAAATAAATCTTGTGATTAGATTCGAATGGATGTTTATACGGATATTTAATAAGAATATTAACCATTTAATTATATAATACCGAAAATTGTTTTCGTAGAATATTTCAAAACTGTATAGCTTGACTAAGGACAGAAATAAAATAAGTTACTTTGAAAATTAAATTGTTCAAAAAAGCTCGCTTTATAAATTACTTATAATAATAAAACTTTAAATTTTTTATGTTTTACAGTTGAAATACAAATTTCGCGTGTGTAGTTATATAAAAACACTTATTACAAAGCATTTTATAATATTAAACAATAATAAGTAGAAAAACGATCCTGTAAATGGTGACTTTCGAAAAGCTTTTCAACTTTCAAATTCTTATTCCTTAACAAAACTTTTTTTTAAATTATGCACAATAAAGAAAAATTCTGCATAAAAAATACTGAAAATCATATTATAATAAACAAAGCTGGGCTGAGCCAATCACGATTTATTTTCAATGCTTTTCCTTTCTCACATTCTTCGTTTCCGATATCTCAATTTTTCCTCTTTAAACAAAACAACTTTTGTTTATTGTAAGATTTTAAATTGATGTTTATATTTATGTACGTTATTGTTATTGAACATTAAAAATTAGTTCTAATTTTAAATTTCATTTCATATAATAACTCAATTTCTGAAATAATTTTGTAAATAGGCTCCCATGCTTTTTTTAATACTTTAATATTGAGAAATTTTTAATGGTATAAGAAAGTTTCTGAATCTAAAAATAAACTTAAATCAATCTGGATAGAGTATTGATTTTACTAACCCTTTAATTAACAAACTGCGAATTAAGAAAATACATATTTTTAATCAAATCAGAGCAACTTAAAAATATTGTTTTGTTGAAATTTGAAAAAGGGAAAAAAATTTATGCTATTTAGGCAGATTTTTAAAGGTTTGATCTACGTTAAGGTTCCGTAAAACTAGTAAGGGTTGAATGTCTATTTCAGCTGTATCTAAGTATTGTTCCGTGGAGCCTTAGGGTTCCATGTAAGGGACTCTGGGGTTCCGAGATTTATGACTATTTCTGATATGCAAAACACAGTTATGTAAAAACCTATAAAAATGCGACAGGAGCATCATTCCTGTTACTAATTATAGGATTGGTCAAAATGATAAACCGCACATGATTGCTAAAAGATTTATTAGATTATGTATGACAGAAATAGTTGGCTACGTACATAAAGAATTTGGTTGAAAAGATGTTCCAAGATTGTTAAACAACTAGTTTTTGAACCGAGATTCATGTATTATGCAACTACATGTAGTACAACTATATTGCACGATGATGATTCGGGTAGTAGGCTTATTTGGCCCAATAATTTCGATAATCTCAAATCGGAGTTCCACTAAAAGAATCATTTAGAGTTCAGTAGTCGAAAAAAATTGAAACCGCTGGTCTATTAGAAGAATGTCTAGTTATCTAAGGCTAGAAAATGATAGTTATCATATGTACTTCCGCATGGTCACCCGTTGATTTGTGGTCATTGATATTAAGGGGTTTCAAGTTTATCTTCTTGGAAATATTGCAAAAAAGTAAAAATTAATGGCCCGTAATGAATAATCTTTAAGAAACATATTTATTTCAGCAACTCAAACCGTTATGTTCGTAAGGGCTGACAGATTGATAAAACCTCCTCCTGTTTTTTCTCTCTTTCTGGCTATCTGTCGTCAATGCTTGTTTTTTTCGCCTCTTTCTCTCTTTTGTTACAGAATGTTAACAAAATTCATGAACTTCCCTTTTTTTACGCCAAATATGTGCTTTTAAAACACATAAATTCCAGAAAGTTAGTCACAAGTATCCGGTTTGTAATCTAAGAGGAAGTGGAGAATTTTAAAATCGTGAATCATAGAATCCATGGCCTGTGTAATTTTTAAAAAAGTTCTTTTTTTTTCAATAGAATCACTGCTTTTTTAAAAATCTTAGGATTATAGTAATAAAAATTTGAAAAAAATTACCTTATTAAAAATTAACGATGGTGGATAATTTTAAAAGTTAGAATCATTCATTTATGGCAACGTGATTGTATAGAAAGTTGGCAATGACAATTTTACGCTTGACTGCATTTACAGACCACATTTTATAGATTATTTAAAGTCAAATAGAAATCAATAAATAAATTTTACAGATAGTATTATTGGAAGTCAATAAATTGGATGATAAAAAGGTTTTACTAAATTAAAGTAGTGATAGTGGATAATTTTAAAGTTTTGAGTTAATCATTTACAGCAAAATTTTACAAAATTTTTTTAACAGAATTTTTAGTAAGTACGTCTTATAATGATAAAATTTTAAAAAAAACTATGTTTTGGTGATAAAAATTAAAGCAAAACAACCTTAATATATCCTCAAAGTTAAAAATTCTTAAGAGATTACGCATGAATTTACGAATTAATATAATAATCATTAAAAATAAAACAATTAAAACATAGACGTATTTTATTTTTAATAATAGATATAAATACCATTAAAAATAATATACTGCAATTATTGTAGAAAATATTTTTTAAAATTGCTAATTGCACACGATTGATAAAAACTATGTTACACTTTAAAAAAGTAAGAACATTTTTTTTTTTTGAAAATCATTGAAAGTTTTTAGGATCCTATTCACAAATGAAGTCAAAATTTATGCACAAACGGATTGACAAATTAATAGTTAAGCATGGAAAAAAGAGAAAAAGCGAAAATGCTAGTGAATTCTCACGAGTTTACTAGTTTACTGAACTGTTTCACTAGTTTACTGAAAACTCGGCTGTATTGAAAACAACAAAATATGTTAGATGATTGGCGGAAACTTGGCAGAGTTGAAAGGGCAGTGATAATCAATATCACCAGACAATAGAACAGTTTTTGATATATTTTATAGTGTCTGCTTCACTAATAATTCGATTTTGGTTTAGTTTCTCCTTTGCCAAAATATTGCAATTAAAACCTTACCAAAGGATACTTTCTTTATTTCATTTTTGACATGGATTCTAATACATATAATGACAGCCAACGGAAGGTCCGCATTATTTATCATGTTTAAGATGATGAAAAACCTTTCATAGAAAATTAGCGTATTCAAAAATAAAACAATAACTTTATAAGTGTGAAGTATAAACAAAACTGTTTAAAATAGTATTTTTAAATGTTTTGGCTTAAGTCCAATATGAATCTCCCTACATCAACGTTAAGTTTTGCCGCTATCTTGAATTTACTGAAAGGTTCTAAGGAGGAAGAAACTCCAAATTTGCTTTTTTTTCAAACAAGTGAGATAGCAGACCAGTAAAACTTTTTTACGCTTATCAACAAACTATTAATTTTCACGTTATTGTTATTAAATTTATTAAAAAAAAATATAGGCTAAGATTTTATGATTTCGATGTTTATAACTAATAAGTATTTTTTTTTCTCCAGCTTGCAACTGTAATCAGCACGCGCGAAGATGTCGATTCAATATGGAACTTTATATTCTGTCGGGGGAGACCTCTGGAGGTGTTTGCTTGAATTGCAGACACAACACAGCCGGTCGTCATTGTCATTATTGCAAAGAAGGTTATTACAGAGATCTCACAAAACCTATAACTCACAGAAAAGCATGCAAAGGTATGTAGTCAACGAATATTATTTAAAAGTTTTATTTATTATAATACTTTTCCTGATTTTTTACAAAGGTATATGAATTTTAATCCATTTTCCGGGATCCGTTTTCAAGTTCAGATTTCTCAATAAGTATAAATTGGGTATATAAAAATATTTGATCACTAAGTTGTTGTTGTTTTTTAATTTGTAAAATCCTTGAACTCATACGAAATATACATTTATAGACGTAATAAGCTAATGATATTTTATTGAAAAGTCAACTCGATTATGAGTTTACTACGATCAATGTTCAATTCCGGGGCTTTGTATTTTTGAACCCAATCCAGAAGACAAGGAAACACCTGGATCAAGAATCAGGACAAACTAGTCTTCGTGGAGGATTTTTGTGTAATTAACCGCTCTTGCGGTTCGTGGAGGGAAAAACCACAAAGTCTACCACAGTTAGTTTGACGGCAAAGGGATTCTAACCCATGATTTGTTCACCACATATGATATTTTATGTCAGCCCAGAGGTCAGTGGAGGCCTGGGAGCCGATTTTATATCTACCTGCCACCGCTGAGATTCGAACCTCTGTCGTCTCTTTGGGAGGCGAGAGCTCGATCCCCTGAGCCATCGTGGCTAATGAAATTTTAAACTTTTTGAAAATATCTCTGATTTTTTACAATTCGAGATTGGCTATTCAAAAAAATCTTAAGTAGCTTTTAATCTGCTGGATATTTTTAAAACTTATTACCATCAACATATACGCTTTCAGGTTAATTAGAATACGTGCGAAGAAATACTCAATCTGTCTAAATTTGCTTTGGAATATTGCAATGCAATAAACCTTGGATTTACGTGCAATAAGCCTTCACTTCTGTGGTCTAATTGCAAATTACTTGAAATAAGTCTGGCAAAATGAACAATGAATGGTAAACTTTTTAATTAATCTACATATATGTGAAGTACCAGGTTGGCTTGAAAATTCTGATGACTTTTCCAATTAGCTTGGCGCCTTGAAAAATAACTACGGCTGTTTGAAAAGAGTCTGATTATTCAAGTAGCCAAAGGCATAGATATACATTTTGGTTAAATATGGTATTTAAACTGCGTTTCTTAGGCCCATTGACTTTTCCAGTTGACAGTTGATTTGTTTAAGCAATAGCATATTTTGTTTGAAAACTATTAAACGCAAACGCAATCGTTTTTGTTTTTTTTTAAATTAAGAATTTCTTTAAAAAATATTGAAATTTTATATATTTTTAAAAAATAATTCGAAATTCATAAATTATATCGAGGGAAATTTCATTTGGATGTTATTTTCAACCTTTTAGTATTCTCTTTTGGAGACTCATCATACTTCAAAACTATGGTTTTGAAAGGCAACATTCAATGGAGATATTAGTGTTCCACAAAAAGTTTCCACACACATGCAATGCTTCTATAAATTTGAAACTAATCCTGTTTTTTTTTTCCAAATTATTTTACTATAAGTAATATAAACAGCCAAACAAATAAAAGAAGCAATCGATGAAAAATTGAAGCGGGAGGAAATAGAATTCGAGTTTTACCTGCCCATGAATTAAAGTATTTTGTAAATTATAAGAAATAGATGGCAGCACCATAGTGTAGTTAAATATTTCTTGTTCGATCGAACTAATTTACCATTTAATAATGACTTTTAATTTTTTTTTCTTCATAAAATTATTCTTACCATCTTGTTTATTTTTTATATATTTCACTCGTTTTCTTGAAATTTTACCTGTAACCTGCAATCTATTATATACTCATGAAACAAAAATTAAAACTTCTGTTGTAGTTGCAACATTTTATTACTTATTTTATTGTGTTATAGTTGTAACAATAGAGGTCAGCACCATATACTTTTTACTTCATACTTTTCTTTCGTCCTTTCCCTCTTTTTTCCTGTTAATAAATGACAAAATTTAATCTTTTTTGCAACAAAAGGGAAATAAATAAACTTTAATTTTATTTTCTTATGAATTAACATTTTTTTCCCAAGCGAATGCCTTAACCAAAAAAAAAAAAAAAGTATCTTGCATTACACTTTAGCACACTTCACATTACATACACATCACACTTTCGCAAGCTATATATGACCCACTACGCATTATTAAATGTCTAACATATAAAACAATACATTTCATTTTTAAATTATGAAAATAAAAATAAAAATTTGTTCACGTTTATTTGCGTATGGAAATGGCATATCTTAACGTTTTAATATAGGGTAATGATTGTATTCTCATTGCATTTGATAGAATTCTTTATTTGTTTATTTATTTCAAATTTCAACAAAAATTCTGACGATAAGGAAGGGTACCCGAAATGTCACTAGCAAATTAAGTAGATTTTTTTCATGTTATTTAAATTCAATTTTTGGTCTTTGAAATAATCTATATAAAAAAAATTTTGTACTCATAAGAGATATGAATTATTGTAAATGTAAATTTGTATAGAAAGCATTATGTATAGAATCACAAAACTCTCTTCAGATGCATGATAACGAATACAATTAAAACAAAAATCAGGTTTGAAGTACTTAATGAAACTATATCTTGTTAGAATTCTAATTTAGCAAATAAATTATTATCTTATTGTTAATTTTGGGGGTTAATTAATGTATAAATTTAATTATAACTTGATATAAACGTGTTAAAGTAAATTACTTAACATTTTTATAGCCGTAAAATTTGTGCATATGTTTAAAGGTGTTTCTTTATTTTTTTTTTCCTTCAAAAAAAAGCTGCGTTGTTTTCTCTTTGCTTTATAACAATTTAACTATATTATTAATACTTATTTACTATATTATTAATACTTATATATTTATTAATGCTTATTAAGTATAACTTTTTTAACAATTAATTTTGCTTTGCTGTTTTTTGTAAGACAATAAAAATTAGCTTTGCTGTTTTTTGTAAGTTATTACTTAAATAAAGTTTTCTGATGATTCAGAAATGAAACATGAAGAATATTCAAATAAAAGTGTAATGCAAATACTTCACTGCATTATCTTATATGAAGCGAAATATCCCTGCAAATAAAGGTCGGGTATGTTTTCCGCATTATATGATTCAAGATATGGGGGGAGGGGTTATTAAATATCTTTCCAAATCACAAACTTTTAACGGTGTATTACCTCCTTTTAGAATACCACCCTTCCAAATGAAAAATACCTTAAAAAGAACTCTTAGATTCGAAGCTAACATTGCAGCCCTACTAAACTTCACTAATAGGATTTTTTTTTTTTTTTTTTTTTTTTTTTTTTTTTTTTTGTGACAAACATAGGTTTTGCGACAATGGAGCATGAATACGCCTCAAACAGACTAACCGTAATATATTTCCTCCCTCCCCTATGGGTGCAGGCTCACGCTCGGTTGCTTAATTAAAGCAATAGTGGGTGCTTTTGTGATATACCGTGGGATTCAATTCAGATAGAATAGCACGGTATGGTACGTCTGGTTGTTATGGAAACGTATAAAAAGTAAGCCATTACGGGTGCTATAGAATTGATTGTGAATAGATTTTCCAATAGACGTAACACACAGAATTGTTTTATTTCATTTTTTTTCTTCATATGATGTCCTTGAAAAATGCCGAAAAGTATGCAAATATGCTCTTATTTCTAAATGAAATGACTAATACATTGACGGGGGGAAAAAAAGACTTTCATTTATTTACATCTTCCATTAAAATTTAATGTCTACTTCTTTTTTTTTTAATCGATTGAAAATTTATGAATTTTTGATCAAAAGAGTTTGCTTAAATCGAAAGCAGCTGAAAAGCTGCAACTTTTCGAATAAAAATAATAACTTCAAATAAACCACCGACTTTTTATCTGCTTTTTTTAACAAAAAATGCTTGCCACACCCTTTAAGATAAACTTTATATAAAATGAACATAATATCTAATAAATTAACAGAGACTATATCAACTCGATTCTAATGAGTAACATGAAATATTTTATTTTTTACTTTTTCGTGCAAGACCATCAAAAGTTTCTATTTTTTTTAAAAAAATTTAAGTTATTTTTATTTAATTCTTCAGGAGAAAAAAAATTCCCAATATTTCTTCATCTTTGTAAATTTGGTAGATAGTAAACCTCGATTTAATGTTAGATGTATTTGTATTGCGTACAACTAGTGAGAAAAACTTTCATAAATCTACTTAAATACTCTTATATAAGTAGAGTTCATAGAGTAGATAAAGGCTAGAAGTTTTTAAGTATTACAATAGTAAATAAATTATCTGTTAAATTAATATATTAATAAAATTATTATACAAAAAAATATGATGTCATAACAATTAATACTTTCCTGGATTTCGATGGAAATTTTAATTAAATATAAGTCGGAGTCAAAGCTGGAGTCAAGTTCTCAGAAATGCCTCGAGTCGGAATTGGATAAAATCACTTCAATTGCGCAGCTCAGGTCAATACTATGAAATAATGCATAAAGCATTTTTTTTTTATTTCTTACCCTTAGCGGTTGCTTTACATTATGAGATTAAACAAAATACTTTTTTAGAAGTACATCTCATTAAAATTAAAATTAAGAGTTATCTGGATTATTTGGCATGACGCTGTTGCTCAAGGCCAACTCATGATGGCTGAAACTTTCCACAATCAAGCAATTTTCCACGAACAATTATCCTTTCGATACTCAGTAAAAACCTTTTACCTGCAGGGGTACCCATATTAATATTACCAGCACCATTTACTATAATACCAGCAGTATTAACTATCAAAACTAAATTAGCATCATTGGCGTCAATAATAATTTGGCTATTTCTTTACGGTTCTCTCAGTTGAATCAATACTTTTTCTCCATTAATTACACTTTATACTACATACCCTATTTATTTATTATTTTTTCTAGTTCAATCGGATATCTGCAAATGACGTCACGCGTGGATCAACCAATCAGGTTCAACCCACACGCGGGGTGTTGCTTGGAGATATCCAATTAAATTTTATCCAAAAATGAATTCATAGTGATAATAAACCCAAACCCTAAATTTGTAGAGCTCACACGTCATGCAAAAAAACACGTGATTAGACTAAATCATGTTATGAGTAGAAACAACCAAGTATGAGCCGTAGTGGCTGAGATGATAGAGCACTCGCCTTTCAAAAAGGTGAAACGGATTTTAATCCCAGCGATGGCTGGTCGATACAAGTTCCGCACCCAGCTCACAGCAACCGCAGTACTGACATAAAATATCCTCAGTGGTAGACGGATCATGGGTTAATGTTACCTTGCCGTAAGGTTAAACATGGGAGGTTTTCGTGGTTTTCCTCTCTGTTATACAAAGACGGTTTAGCTCCCACATAAAGTCCTCCACGATGGCAAATTTCTGTCAATCCAGGAGCTACCTTGTCTTCTTCAATGGATCGGATGTTCAACGACGGTTATAAAATAAAACAGCCACGCGTGATGTCTCTTGCACGTATCCAATTACCGTTGATTTTAAATTATTTATCTTTATGAAAAAACATTTTAAAATCCCAACCATATATAAAATAAACACTTAAATATACTTGCTGTTGTTTAGATAAATATAATAAAAGCAATAAACAACAAGATAATTTTAGGAACACTAAATCTGTAATGTAACACCGATTCATGTGCCATTCACCCTGATCACTGAGCTTGTAAAAAATATTTAATAATTCAAAAACATACGATAAACTCTCAAACCGAATCGTCTACAGTTTATTTTACTACGAGGGCTAATGCTAGAATAATTCGAAGAAAAAGAATCATGTTACAAACATCTCTCCTGAACAGCCTAATTTATATTTTTAAGCAATTTTAATTTTAAATTGCTCCTTGCAATCCATGTTTAAATTTCAAAACACTAGCATAAATGGTTTTGGAGTTAAAAGAGATTTGACATGGCTTCCGACAACGCGGCTAGACAAAAATACTGAATAAACACAGAAGAAAAGTTGAAAATAATTTAAATAAAATGTATTTCATTTTATTTAAATTATTTTCAACTTTATTGCATGTTATTTTTCCCGAAGAGCGCACTAAATATTAAAGCCATAACTGTGCAATTAACTTTTAATTTTGTTATAGTTGTAAATGACACGATATTTTATTTTTCATTACAGCTTGTGACTGCCATCCAGTGGGCTCTTCGGGCTTAACTTGCAATCAAACCAACGGTCAGTGTCCTTGTAAAGACGGGGTAACTGGGCAAACTTGCAACAGATGTGCCAAAGGATATTTCCAAAGTCGCTCAACTGTCGCACCATGCATCAGTGAGTTAAAAATTAATTTATGGCTAAACTATAATTTCAATTAGTGAATGATAATTGAGTTGTGTAAGACAATTATTTATTATAATCGTCCCATTCAGATAGATTTCTTCTTTAAAGCATGTTTTAGAATAATTTTGTTAAATTATGAGTAATAAAGAAACAACATTTCAAAAAGAAGATGTTTTATTACTCTTCATATTTTTTAATACAGGTTTAATTTCGAACTTTAATACATCAAAATCTAATGGTCTTTAAATATACCAGTTTATGATTTTCTGAAAGTAAAGAATCACAGAGATTATTTTAAATGTTGGTATTTATTTTACACAGACAAACATTGGTTGTTGGAAATAAATGTTCGAAATGCAGTCATATTTTTATGAATATTTAGGTTATTTTACCAGATTTTAGAAAAATAATTTCAAATGCTACAAAAATATTCGCTATAGCATTTTCTCCTGTTGAAATTGAAAATGTAACGTTTTTCTCATTGTATCAATGGTCATGACCATTTTTCATGCTCTTTTTAACAGTTATGGAAACTCAATTTCGATTTCTCTCATTGTTTCATCAACTAGTGTGGAGGGCCTGCATGCCCTTTCTGTTTGTTTGCTAGATTGGCCTAAAACAGAATAAATCATGACATCGCTGAGTTAATGGATACTGCGCATAGATGAGGGTTAATGGGTGCTGCGCATGGTGTTCGACGGTACTGCTTCATCAGGATACTTCATGCAAAACTCTTCAAAGACATTAAAATATATGATTTTCTGGTAAAATTATACTATAACAGGAATATTCGCTGTCCTTGAAGTTGTCGCCAGGAACAGAAGCTCAGCAAATAAAGTTTCTTATAAATTAGAATAATATCACCAGTACTAAATGAAATACATTCAAAATAGTATTCGCAACTATAGCTCCAGAGTAGCAAAGCAAATCATAAATAGTAGCCACAGACTAACAGAGTAATAAAAAATCGTAACTGCTTTTGCACTTTTGGTATTCACTTATAGACTGGTAATGTTCGTTTATTTTCTTCTTTTGGGGGATAAAATGATTTATTTGAATAAAATTAGCTTGTTTTATTTATATTATTATTTTTATTTATAATTTTTTTTTTCTAAAGATTACTAAACTTGTTGTTCGTAATAATGACGTATTAAAAATATTGGTATTTTACTCTCTAATAACTCTAAAAAGCGATCAACAACACCTAGTAAAATTACTGTGGAATCATCGAAAATCAAGTACATTAAATAAGTGATTACTCAAAGGCCCGGTTCTGTATTCGCGCTTTAATACGACAATAGGATACCTGTTACCGTATTAAAAATATCGGGATTTTAAAAGCTATAAGGAAATGCGAAGCAAACATTTTCGAAAAAGTGATGGAATAGTCTCGAATAGAGTTTAACAAAAAGACATAACTCAAAAGCTCAATTCGAGTACCATACTATCGAAATAAATAAGAAAATGATATTTAAAATTAAAAAAACTTTTGGAAATTCGTAGATAAAATTACCGGAAAAACAATCCAAACAGAACGCTAGAGTCGGAGCCTATCAAGCGTATTTTATTTTCTTATATTGCGTCTATAACATGATCTTCATTTTTGGCGACTAGGGTTTGATATTTTTGTAACCATTTCTTATGCGATGGTCGCTCGTTGGCGACGGTTAATACAGAGCTCTAATAGCACAGCCAACTACCGGTAATTAAAATTCAGTGCTTTTATTGCTAAATTTTGATCCATTGAACTTTCAAGTGCTTAACTTTAAAATTCACCCTGTATATACGAAGAAAAAAAAGTTAAAAAATTCAACTCTATCATTGAAAAATAAAGGTACTTAAGAATCCAGAATGCTATTTTTTTGAAGAACAGACCAGTTCTAAAGACCATCATACTCCACATGATTGTATAATTACTACATTGATCAATGTACAGTATAAATTGTACTTAGTACTGTTTGCACAATGTGTACTTATATTTAAGTATAATTATAAGCTCCACATTTTTTTTTTAACAGAATGTGATTACTGTTCAATAATTATTGCCTCTAAAGTGCATTTTCAAACGTATCATTTTAAAAATGAAACTTAAAAATATTTTAGTAGGGGTTGCAAAAAAATGTCGACATTTTAGCTTTTACAAAAATAAATGCTGAAGTTTCGAGATCGAACATGTTTTTACTATGTTTTTGCTATCAAGTACATTATTATGTAGCATCGACTTTTTAAATGCGCTTCGTTATAGTCCTACTAAAAGATTTTTCAAAATATTTCTTAGTGGGAAATACTCTAAATTGAAAGATGATCACCTAATCTTTTTCTTTCAAAGTTTTATTTTATTTTTGAAATTATTTAAGGTATCCCAACTACATTTAAAATGCACTAGGTTATTATCTTTCTTCAAAAATTAAAAAAAAAAATTTTAGTTAAATATTTCGTTACTAATGTAATGTTTTTTTAATTTTATTTTCAGAAGTATTTAAAAATGAAAAGCCAAAGGCAAACTCCAAAAATGGTATTATAAATTATATTTACTTTTGTTGACTGCTAAAAATTTTCCGTCATTTAATTGGATGTAAGAAAACTATAATTTTATTTATTCTGTAGATAAGTGTGGAAAGTGTCCTGCCAGCAGAAAGAGATTAAATTTGAAGAAATATTGCAGAAAAGACTACGGTATGAGTTTAAAGTTTCTGAACTTTAAGTGCTGTTCTGTTAAGATTTTTATTCTCTCCAGTATAAACTTACGTTCTATTCAGTTTCTATAAAAATAGAATTTATCTTTTTAATGTAATTTCATAATACAGTATTTGTCAAACTATAACAATAATTTGAGATTTTTTTTCCTTATTCCAAGTTTATGATGACATTTGTTTAGAAAAAATATTTTACGATCAAATTTCCAGTTCTGTAGGTAATGTAAAGATTTCTTAATCATAATTTTGTTCTGGAAAATAAAGGTAAATAATGGTAATCAATTTTTATTTGCAATAATTTACTTCATAATTGAAAACTGTAACAATAAAAATGTATTAAATTGTTGTGATGTCAAATTAAAGGTTTCATTCTGAAAGCAAGGGATTCTACTAAATGCCTATATGTTCCCATGTAGCAGAGGGAAATTAATAATACTTGTAGAATTATTGTTTTTTCTTGATATCGTTAAATTATTGTGAAAAAAATTATAAAAATAATTTGGCCAGTGTTGTAAACATTGAAACAATCGTGTGGACAACAGTGGCGCTGAGGAAATATATTCCACTTTTACCTACTGCACTGCTTGACAATTGTTAAGGAGCGATTGATTTATGCAAAGTAGCCTTCTTGATAGCCAACCAATGACAGTAAAATCAAGTTTAGAGGGCATGGTAGAGCTGGATTACATTTTTTCCCAGTGTTGGATTGCCCATTATGGCCTGGTTCCCCCAATGATTAGGGGCCCCCTTAAAATGGAATTTTTGAAAATAAATTTTTAAAAATAAAGAAAAACAATGATTTTTTAAAAAAAAAATTCAATTTCAAATATATTGGCCAAAATGCTGGGAAATGCTACTTGTTCGAAGTGAATTTTTTTTTTATTGTATAAACATTGTATACGTTTTTTTTTCAAGTTTAAGGCATCGCTGGAACGTTTTAAGGAAACACATAGGAAATGATAAGATTTTGAAATCGTTATCAGATACGCGTTTGGATGCTTGCGCCAACGCCACTGAGGCAATTCTAAAATTTTATGTTAAAATTGTAATTGCGTTAAACGAGATTGCTGACGATCTTTCTCAAAACCATGACACCAGACACGAAGCTGAATGTCTTGCGACTAAGATGGGAACTTTTGAATTTGCTTTTATGCTTGTATTGTGGAGCAATATATTGAATAGTTTTCGAGCTACAAGTAAAGCTCTTCAATCAGAACAAATTAATCTGAATACGTGCGCCTTAATGTATGAGTCGTTGGAAACGTTGATAGATGTGATGGCGAATTCGACGAAGACCTAACGATGGAGATGCTCCAGAGGTGGTATTAACAGCTCGAGATAATTTTCGCATAAACGGATTCATTGTAATTATTGACACTCTCAAAACAGAATTTAACATTATTACTTGGAAACACTCCCTATCTTAATTTAATGATATATCTAAAAGATATCATATTTAATAATTTGATACAGTCCTAATTTTGACTTATTAGTTCTGTCGTTTAAAAAAACAAGTTGCCACAGTTACAACAACATAATTAGTTTGATTTTTGCCTATCTGTTTCAGTCTTAACTGTTTTGATATTGATTTAAAAATTTAGTAATTTTTGCATTTAATGATTGAAAACAAACATTTTATAGGTGCTTGAGTTATTTAGGTACTGTTATTACTTTAATACATTTTGAAATTCTGCTTTACTTCAAAATATTATGTCTGTAACTTTAAACTATGTATATTGTGCGACTATATTTTATATGATAGTAAAAATTCTTGAATAACTAAGTGAATTTTGAGTATTATTGTAAACAGCGATTTATGTATTACAGCGATTCAAGCTGACATATTGTCCCGAGAGACAGTTGGTGATTGGGTCAGATTTGGTATTCATGTGAAGCACATATTCAAAGCAGGTCCTATCAAACTACGGACGGGTGCTCAATCTCTGTGGATCACTCAAGCAGAAATCTCGTGCAGCTGTCCGAAGCTTCGGCTGAAACACTCCTACCTCATATTAGGTAATTAAGAATTAATGCAATACATATACATTCTCGACAATTCGTGCAAAATATTAAAATTCACAAATGCAAATTCCTTTTAATAAATGTACTGGTCAAATGGCAGCTTTATCATGGGGGTCTTAGGTATTTAATTTTTTAGAGGGACGAAAAAATAATACACAATTAAAATAGTTTTTAAAATTTCGCCCTTGTAATAAATCGAAGCAATTTCTTTTATCCCCAGAATGATAATTTTTTCAAATTTGTTTCTCTTGCTTCTAACTTAGCTGAACAAAAATGATCAATGATTGTAAATAATAATGACTTATGATTTTTCGTCAACAATCACGCCAACGATGCCCATAATCTTTATTATAGAAGCAGTCTGAGATCTACAAATACTAAGAATCAGATTCTACAAATACTAAGCTATCGTTTTCTTTTTTCCTTGCTTTTTTTACCACTAGTTTTGAACCTAGCTTTACTGGATCATTTTCATCCACTCTGGCAATATTAGTAGCGTAGCTCATTCTTTTAATCTTAATTCTCTTGATGATATCAGTGCTATTTCAAAAAAAAAATTATTATTTTCTGAGTTAAAACGCCTTGCCTAAGACCATTTCATTTTACTCCACCATCAAGAAACGCGCTATATAAAACAAACTAATTTTCAGCCCCAATACGAAACATTATCCTGACTTCCCCAAAATTGTTATGAGAAGAAAGATATATTTATACACTTATGTAACATATCAATTAATATTAATATCGTTATAAAATTTTTATTTTGTTCCAGGAAACAATCAAGAGGGAAGAAAATATTCTGGCCTTCACGCTAATCGAGAAAGTACTGTTGTGGAATGGAAAGACGACTGGCCTTGGAGAATGAGAAGATTTCAAAGGCGACAAAGAAATGGCAGGTGTAAAAATCCGTAAACCTATCTCATCCCTGAAACTGCATAACAACAACCAACCACACCACCGAAAGTTGTGATCGTCATTATCGCCAAAATCATCTGATGTTTAACTCATTAACCATGAGACAAAATATTTTTCCTACTAATGGATGGTAAATGGAATGCAAAATTGACTGTCAGCGTTAAATTTAGAAAACTAAATGTTAACTGTTATACAACTGTTAATCATACATTTAGATTTGTTTTTTAATTCATGCCAATATTTCACTTTTTAAACTAAAAACTAGCAGTTTTTTTTCTCTTCTCTTTTATATTACTATACAAACTCAACTGATGGTAAATTCTGTTGTGATTTTAAGGTATGCATAAAATGTACTTTCAACTGAGAAATAGTTAAAAAGAATTTTTTGAGAATGTTTTATTTATTTTTTTAAAGCGAATTTTGTAATATTTAAAATGAAATCTATGGTGTCAAAACGCTATTTATGTATCTTACAACTATCATATGAATATATAAGGATCATGATTTTGATATAATCAATTTAACTTACTATTACTATACAAACTCAACTGATGGTAAATTCTGTTATGATTTTAAGGTATACATAAAATGCACTTTCAGCTGAGAAATATTTAAAAAGTGTTTTTTGAGAATGTTTCTTTTAAAAGCCAATTTTGTAATATTTAAAGTGAAATCTATGGTGTTTAAACATTATTTATATAGCTTAAAACTATCATATGAATATGTAAGGATCATGATTTTAATATAATCATTTTAATTTCGAAATGCAGAACAATATTGTTTAAGGGGAAATAACTCGCTAAAATTAACAATATATATTTACTTTTCAATTGTATCTTAGTGCATTTATCAATATATAAATATTTTTACAATTTGATAAATGCATTACAAATTTACTATGTTTGCTATGTACTAGTATTTAAGGTTTGAGTACATAATACGTGAGTTTAAAAATATATTAAGTAAATTTAAAAATCATTCGTTTTTTTTCCTTGTTGAAAGTTAGAATTTTTAAATTTAAGATGTTTATATTCTTTAACAGCCAAAATATGTGCCAAATTTTTTAATAAAATGCATTATTTTCTATTTTAAAATTCCTTCTACAATAAAATAATAGTACTCATAAATCTGTCCATGTTTCAATTTCCTTTTTTATCGCGTAAAAGTTTAAATTTAATGACCACCGTTTTAAAAGCATTAAAGATGATTTAAAAGCATATAAAAAGGAACTTAAACCATACATCAATACGTATTTTTATTTTAGAATTTTCTATTCTATTACCGGTGATTGAGTGACAAAGATTAAAATAATATCAGAAAAGAAGTTAAACCTTTACTTTCTAAAAGCGCGATGAATACGATGATTATCTGATCTTCTCATAAAGCGGTTATGCCAAAAGATGTTATTTTTGATCAATGTATTCTTACGATGTTTCAAGTTCTCTTTCGTAAACTCAAGAATGAATTTCTTTTTAAAATTTTCTTAGACCGACATATTAATGACGGATCAGCACCAAAAGAATGCTGTAAGAATTAAGCAATCGATAGTCTTCGAAAATTCCTAAATGTTCTGCCAGACACGAGCCTTTATCATTTTAGTTCTATATGAACAAACTAATTCGATGGTCAACCATTGACTTTAAGCAACATTCATGGAAGAAGTGGAGAAAATATGGTGAAAAGATTTCGTCAAAAATAAAATTGAACTTCACTGACTAAGACAAGCAAGAGAGAAATTTGTAAACGATTTTTTTGGATGGGAGTTTGAAATTGTTCCTTATGGTCGATGTCCAAATTTCAAGACCCAACTCCAAATCGTTCTGGAGTTATAAAAGATTCAAGATAAACTTTCGTACCTATTATTAAAAAATTGAATCTGCAGTTATACGTTTGCTTTCTACCCAGAGTAAAGTTTATTTGCTCTAATAAGTTACTTTACATATTTTATGTACTAATTCAACGTAACTTACCAAGGCAATAGAGAAAACATTTGCGCATTGTATTGACAAATATGTGCAACAATTTCGCTACATGAATTCGTTATCTTTCAAAAGTGAATTAGCTTTACTATTGCTTTGTACTACTTCGGATTTTAAAGTTGGCCATACCACTAAATATTAAAAAGTTTTTACTAATACAAATAGTATGGGTTATAAATAGTAAGAATTCTACTGAAAACTTTTTGTTATTAAAAAAATATTTGTCTTTTTTTGTTTTGTATCTTTATTTCAATGAAATGAAGTCCGAATTCAGATTGAGTTGTAAATAGCATATTTGCTTTTGTTCTATATTTAGAGTTTATTATTTAATAAAATCTTTCTTGAGTAGACTTATTTGTCATTTCTTAAGTTTTTGGTTCTACTTTGGTACCGTGCACACAAAGCTATGATGATAAAAATCTGCCAATGGCAACTTGACTACAATATGTTGTTGTGATTATGCCGCAATCCTATAGGATTAGAGATGAAAGAAAATAGAGATATCTAAGCCACAGGCTGAATTTCATCCTTGAGTGGAGTGTTGCTGTTGTTGTTTCCAATCCCAGATGGGATAGCGGAGCTATACCAGATCCATGAGGCCGCGAGTCTTCAAAAAATCGAGGAAAAGGAGAGGTCTCTCAAGAACCTCTTCCATGGTGAAATCCAGGCATTAAAGTAGATGGTGAGGACTAGCCTCGCTGAAGTTGCACTTTTTACAAGATGAAAAAAGTTTAATTTGTCCACTGAAAGTGAGGCTCTTTGGCTCTTAGTATGCCCACTGACAAATCTACAGGTAGCGGTTTGGTCGGCACGAGTACCCTGAAAGTCAAGGGCTTCTCCAGGGCGCTTGCGGGAATACCAATTGTGATCCGGTGGAACAAGCCAAGCTTTATTAACTTTAGATTTGCGGATAGAAAATAATTCAGAGTAAGTGAGGGCCTTGTTTGGAGAAGCTGGAAGGGAAGTACCTTGTTTTTCCAACTGATCAGCACGTCCATTGCCAAAAAGACCCACGTGTGAGGGTATCCACTGAATATGGATGTCACGGGAGGCTGAGAGGGCATTTAATAAACGAAGTATAGAGACCCCAGCCTGGTCCGTTACTCTCTCCCAATTGCTCAGGTGCAGAATACAGCTGCGACTGTCCGTGAAGATCCAAACATTCCCAAAATTGGCTCTAGTCTTGATATTTTCCAGAGCTGTTTGAATAGCAATAAATTCACTGCGAAATACTGAACAGAAATCTGGATTTCTTAGTGATCCTGATTCGTGAACTTCAGCAGGATATATAGTGAAAATTCCACTGCCTTGAGTGGAGTAAATCAATCAATTATCGTTATTTTGTTGTTGTGCATGATAATAGCTGTTTGAACTATTCCTATTTAGCGATATATATTCCTATCCCAATAGAAACGTATTTCTATAGGTTACTGATTGATCGCTGATAGATTGCTAGTGATCTGGTAAGTGAAGTGACGTCAGATATATCAGACTTACACATGCGGCACGTTTTAATGTGTCCAATGTATCACTCGATAAGCAATAAGACTATAATCAATCTCATTCAAGTCTTATGAAGCTTCTATATAGAGTAAAGTTTTAGCGGTATATGGCAGTGTTGGCGAAAGATGTTTTCACGCCTCTGGCAATACTGAAACGGCGCTCTTATTTCAATCTTGGAAAATTAAAAAAATCCGAATTAATAATAAATAAATTGAAAAACAAAATGAAAAATTGTCATCGACTGCCACAACACAATTTATAGGTTTATAAACATTTTTATGCATCTGTCAACTCATTCTCTGGTGCGACCATTCACTAAAATACCTATCAATGATTCGCCGATAAACAAATTCACTGCTATTTATTACTGCTCATTGTTAAAACACCTTCAACTAATCCACTTGTAATAAAATATTTATGAAATAAATACTATCTTTAAAATAACCATTCAAAACAAACTATAATGGCCTAATAAAACATACAATTACAAAAGAGACGATCGGTCTTGCCGTAATAATAGAAAAATATTAAATGATTACTGGGAGGATTAGATATTCTCTACCCAGCCTAAAATAGGTTTAAAAAGCTGGCATGAAAATAAATAAAAACCTAAGTGTAGCCTAAATTTTTGTGTTTTGCGCCATAGTTAGAGAAATTTTTAAGCGAATTCAAAAAAAAAAAAAAAAAAAAATTTCACCTAATTATAAAATTCGTTATTCCAAGATAATTTTACGCAAAAATTCTCAATCCTTATTTTTTATTATTTTATTTAGTAATAGTCAGAATAATTTTGAACTGTGAGGTACTTATTAAAAAAAAAGAACGATGGAGAAGCAAAAATATTTTAAAATAATGAATGCAACATCGAGATATAGCGGTAAAAAAATCATTCATTTGCAATTTTAGTTTATCTGTGATTAGAAAGTAAGTTAAAGTAAAGCAAAAAAAAAAAATAATGTTCTCATTGCTTACATAAATTGAGTGATGTTTCATTAAAAAAAAAATCCAACCTATTTTCATAAAATTGACATCATATAACTAACATAACATAACACACTAAATTGAAATGAATGAATTTAAGACTAAATGAAAGATACCTAAGTCCATCATTGTCATTTTCTAAGGTCACCCATCCATCTGTTCTTGTCTCTTACGTCACATTACCTCTTTGGGAATATTGGCGTGAACCTTAAATAAAACCTTTTAATAGTGAACTTTTAACAATAAAGTTAATATAAGAATATGTAATTAAAAAATAAAAACCTATAACCATATTTTTCAAACAAACAACTATTGTAAAGAAGAAGGAAATCAATTATTTTAGTGCACTTTAAATATGGGTCTCGTTTGGTGTCCCCGTAACCTGGCGCTCCAAGCGATCATCCGCTCCTTTCGACAGCCCTAGTTGATGGTTGATATAAGTAATCGTGACATTGCGCACAGTGTTCACATCTTAAATGAAGAAGTCAAAATGCGTAAGATCCGGGGTTTCCTGAAAGTCACTGAATTGGGCCATCCCGTCCAATCCCTGGTTTGGCAAAAATGGACATCTAAATTCGCAGCCTTCAAACATGGACGGTGAAGGAATGGCAGAACCAAGATTTGGGCACCCCTCTTAAGGAAATGGCGTTGTCCATCGAGAGTCATAAGAAAGTTGTTGTTTCTAAGGCTACTAACCAATTAACCAGCAAGTCTGCTTGGTGAAACCAAGTGAATTTAAGTCAGCGGATCCGTTTCTTGTTTTCTTAGAGGCTCCATCTATAGCCAAGAATACGTCTTCAGCCACACACACGTCACAGATTGTTTCAAAGCGCAGACCCATTCATTTATCCACAAATCGTAATTTTGACCTAAATCAGAGAACAATCAATCTCCAATTAAGTACTCCCAGGTTTATTGATTTGTTATGGAAACTTTGAGGACTTTGTGACCCGACAGATTTAACGTGCGCCAGTCACTATTTACCACATGGGGAGTCTTCGTCCGGATGATATCAAACTCATGACCTCTTGGACAAGGGTCCAACGCCCTGACCCATTATGGATGGTGTTTTCAGTAGAAATGTAAACAATAACAATCTCGAGCTGTATGCCTGCTCTAGTTCCGGTTAGAAAGTTTGCAGCTGCTTACTACATGTTATTCTGCGAGGCGATATTTGAAATTTTCAAACGGATAATTTTGTTTTCAATTAAAGAAATAAATTAGATAATTTCTGAGCTCAAATCTGCCGTATTTCATGAGATATTAATGTTATTATGTAATTCTGGTGAGTTTGAAGTGAAAATTTGTTTTAGTTATTTAGAGATATATTGTTAAGAAAGGTGACATGGTTGCTAGATTTTCAATAACTCGCTTTTTTGGCAGTCTTGATATGGCCTCTTTCCATAAGTTTATGACTGTTTGTTCTTGTTGCAAGCTGTGCACCATCTTACGTTGGTGTTAACACTTTTACCATTGTAAACGCAAGTAATAAGTAATCAAATACGTTGTTTGCAAGAATCTCAAAACACAATGATGCCAAATGGCTTTAAAATACAACGGAAACAGTAACCCGGAAATGTAGACGGTACCGAGCTTGCAGCGCTCCCTAGTGTAGAAAACACCATCCATAGTGAAAGTGATCCTCGTTAATATTTCAAGCACAAGATAGGAGAAAATGAGTGAACCTTCTGAGAGACAGAAAATCTTTTTAGTACATTTCAACGCTAGATTTCGATTTTTCCGTAAGCTCAAAAATTAATTCCCATCCTTCTTTTTCGTTAACCTTGTATTTACGACCTAATATTGTTCTATTATACGTTGAATGAAAGACAAAAAATCTCTCAAAAATTATCTTAACCTTGATATCACATGTTTTCTTTCTCGTCATCATCAAATTTTCATAACTTAGACCGATTTATCTAGAAGCTACTCGTTTAACAGTGTGTGGAGGAAAATAAAATGCGGTAAGAATGGTCTCATTACAACTAAAAAATCTTATTTTACAGTAACAAAAATTCAATTTACTTCGTGAAAGAAGTCCAATTTATTTCAAATGAATAATTAGGGCAGCACGTACCTTTACTGGCGATGTCCTGATTCAAGCACTATCCTACATAGTTTAGGCGGTTAAAGAAAAATGTCCTGTTTGAAGTTGGATTGAAATATTCTTTGATTTTTTATAAATTAAATATCTTTTTTGTTAATTTAGCTTTAAAAAAATCTTACAATAGATTAAAAATATAATAGAAAAAGCATCAATGTATGGAATACGAATTATCAGAGACTGGTTAATCACTAAAAAATATCACATTAATGAAGCTAAGAGTAAAACTTGGATATGTATGCCATCAAGCTGTTTACACTTGCCTGGTATTTCCGGCCCAGAACTTTTTCTTAATGCATCCTAATCGGTTATTGTTAGATTAAAAACCAATTAGGGCCTTTCAAGCAGAATTCATGTTTCATAAGTCCCGCAGTGGACTGATCGTTAAGACACGGTTTCCAGCACATCACCGAAGTCAAGCATCACTGGCTGCTGTCAGTGTGCGGGTGGGTGACCACTTGGATTAGTTTGCGTAGGGACCGAGGGTGTGCGGCGTCGGTCCTTGTTAAACTGTTCTACCGTAAAGTGATCAAATTCGTCGGGCTACTGAAGCAGAGGTGCCATCCCCTCTGCAGAGGATCAAAATTGTGATGGCATGTCTTCGGACCATCCTCAGGGATGTTTCCCAGATCGTCGCCAAAAGCCCATAATACAGCTCTAGTGTGACGTAAAATGAACTACTGCTTGTCTCATAAAAAAAATAATTCATTGAATAAAATTTTTACCCATTGGCAAAATGAGTGTTGCTGCTGGGTTTGATGG